ACACAGAAAACCTAGCACCTTCACAGAGATTGACCTCGGCAAGACGGGCTGTTTTCTGGGCAGCTGGGTGATGGGTCACAGGCGTTTGGTTTCAGGGATAATTTTCTGCCACTGATGGACATCTGCTAAATGGTACAATAACCTAATGGGAGAAGATGAGGGGAAAAGGGGGACATGACAAACAAGCTGAAGACTTGCTCCTTTTGCTTCGCTCTTAAAGGCAATAATAGCGGTAAATTGGTTCCTGAAATTGAATTGGAAAAAAAGAGCCAGTCTCCTTTAGCAAAGTATAATGCCTCCGAATACATTTGGTGCACAGCAAATGGAGAAAAATGGAGGGTAGTTACACGATTGTCTTTCATTTCAGGGAGGGGAAAAGTGTGCCGGCATCCCCCCAACCCTCCCCGTTAAGGCCAGCTTTTAGTCTCAATCTCCACCACGTGTCTGGTTACCCTCTCTCAACCACTATCTTTGAACAAATGGACTGTGAGGATGGGCTCGTTGGGAAATTAGTATCCTTGCAGAGAGAACACAGAGAAAGGATTATGTGAATAGCCAGTAATGAGCTCAAAGTACCAGTGTGTTTGGGCCAGTGTTGCCTGTGTGTGAGAGGAAATGGCACTGTGAGCGACCTCTTTTTTTTTTATGTCTTTTTTCCTGAGCACCTGGCGAGACATAGAGTGGTCCCTCTTTTCCATCTGCAACATGTGTGTGTGAAAGAGAGAGAGGGTGAACTGAGGTTGTGCGGAGATTTAATTTGCTTAGATTTATCAGGGAGATGCATTTTAGTGCTTTTCTCACTGTCAGTTTTGTGCTAAAAGTGTTGTTTTGTGCTGCTGGTGACAGGCTTTAAAAATACTCATGTGACTTCGGGTGTTAAGTGCATTGTAGAAGCTTCAGGGTCCAGGGTCAAATTGTAAAGTCTTGGAAAAAAAAGGAAGGTTTCTTTTCTTAAAAAAAAAAAAAAAAAACTTTTCTGGAAGAAAGATTGAGGTATTTGAAGTGTTGATCCATGTTTTTATTACCTCTTCATCACCTTTAACAATTAAACACAAAAAATATTTTGGCTTCGGAATTAAATGGGCTTTTGTGCCACATTTCATGTTAAAAGACAAGCAAAATGGTTGTGATAAAGATTTATATTTTGTAATTGGGGAGACTATTCTATAATATTTAAAATTACAATATTTTGTGCATTATTATGCATGAAGCTTGGAAATAAATAAATGCTTTTCAAATCATTTGATGCATTAAGATTTTGCAATAATGTAAAAAAAAAACTGCCTAAGTATGCAAACATTTATGAACAGATTTCAATCAGTTTGCAGAATTTTGCCAAAAACATTTTCAAAAACATTCTTGCAGTACGATGTGTGTCAAAGTATATTTTCTAACTCCTTAATTTTAATTTGGAAGACATCGCTGCTCAGGTGAAGTCAACTCTTTCTAGATAATAGCAAATACCTGCATAAATGTTTGCACCGTAACTTTCATGAGCAAATCCATCACAATTCACCTTCTTGTCAACATAAGCGTTTCAACATTACGTCTACTGCTAGTAGTAGGAGTAGACGTAATGCTAAGAGTGATAGGAGTGTGTTAATACGCCCAGAGGGGAGCTGATGAAAAATATCAGCTTCATGAGGACAAGATGAAACCTTAGTAATAATTATGTAGGAGCTAAAAAATACATATAAAGGTAGCCCAACTCCTGACCGTTTGTCTGAAAGGTAATTAAACTGATTTAATTACCTTTTATATGCTATTTGAATTTTATAGCATATTATATGTGTATGATTAAGCCTCTTATTGTGAAGGTTTGACTCTTGTCTAACTTGTCTAAGTCCTTCAGCCTCGTATTTAACTGTTCTGCTGAGTTTAGGCAGACATCTGGTTACAGGACCAGAAGTCCAAGAAATTTAACAAAATAGTAAAAGTAAAACACGCAAAACAAAAAAAAAAAAACAACAACAGGCAGTCCTGAATGCTGAATACGTCCAGCTAATAGTTAGCTCATTTAGCACTGGCAGCCATTATTCCTCAGCTAGAGGCAGAGGAATACTTTTGTTTTAAGAAAAGAGGGGAGAAAAACTCTTCAGAAGTGTGTCTGTGGATAGAAAAGTTAAAATTTTAACATTTTGTCGTTAAAATTGAATATCACGTTTTTAATTTAACTGCTTTCTGCTTCTATGTCCTCTGAACTGCTTAAGAACCTGAATTTGATAAATAATTGAACACAAACACACTTATAAAGGTTGGTCATAGTAACAACATTTTATCACGGTAATTGTTAAAACCAAGAGAATCATCCTTATAGAAACAACTTAAGTAAACTAAAGGAAAATTAAAAACAATCATAGCCACATGTGTGCTAACTGCAGTGGACAGAATGCATCGCATAGACAATTGAATGATTATCAATAATGATTGTGTGACTGTCAAAATCCTCTAATCCATCGCAATGTAACACTGTTTTATCTCTAACCCCTGTTTGTTGTGTTGTGTTGGGTCCACCCAGATTTTTGTGACAGTAACGCTTCCCTTTCAACGGCTGGCTCCAAACAGACACCAGAAAGGAAAACTGACTCAAATCAAACCAGAAGTAACTCTTATGATTGTCTGTAGAACCACAGTGTAGTAGTTGATTATCTATCCCAAGGACATAAATGACAAATTGTTGTGTGTGTGTGTTTGAGGTCACTTTACTTTTCTGTTTTATCACTTTCCTTTCCTCCCGTGAGCAGACAGTTGACAAACTGGCACATTACCGCCCCCTAGGAGGCTCTTGTGAAAAATCTACAGCGCTGGTGTGCTTTTTAGTCCAAAAGCAGCATACGCTGGGTTCTCCATAGGAGTCAGCTTCACACTGTGATGCAGAGATGAGATTTACGACTGTTTAAATGGAGCCAGATCATGTGAATCTGTTTCTTTCGAAGAGTCGTTCAAACTATTATTATCTTATTTTTAAATAGCCAGCTAGAGGGAACTTATTTCACACTGAGACAAATGATGGTTATACTGTTTTGTCATTTTGAGCCTGCTGCAGACGAGGCACTTGTATGGAGTCAGTGTGGACAACACACAATGAATATGATGTTTGTATGTCAAAACAGTACAGCACATGTACTTTGCTGTGCTCCTCCTATTGTGCCTGTGCTCTGTGTCACTCATTGAAGCAGCAATGGAGGATGTGAAGCACAGTGAAATACAGCTTGCAACTGCAACTCAGTACCCATTATTTATGTTAAATACTTAAGCAATAGATTCGATTCACTTGCACTTCGCTCAGCCTGCAAGTACCTAGAGTGGAAGGCTGTGGGTTCAGCCGGGAAAAGCACAACTATTATATTGTTTCTGGACATGCATAAGTTCGAGGAGACATTTTATATTTCTCACTTTGATCAAATACTGCTGGTACATCCCATCATTTGTGGAGTTCTTTTGATTGAACGCTTTAACAATGGCTTGAAATTTACGACCATTTGCAGCAGTGTTCTGCATTTGTATAGCCTTTAAATGAGCAAGAAGAGGACCCAGAGCTCCATGACCCACCATTAATTCATCCTGCAATCACTGCAATTGTTTTCTTTCATAATACAATGATAATCTATGAAAGCCAGTAATGGACTGATGGCAGGTGGCTAAATGTTCGTTTAGCAATTCACTGAGAAAATAAATAGCAGAGGACTCGGCTGTGACATGCGCGTGAGAAATCATTTTTCAATACTCTGCCACGCGTCGTAGCCGGAGAGGCCGGCTCTGAAAGCACACATGAAATATTTGCCTCTGCTCTGCGTTTTAACATGGGAGGAGACAAGCTTGGATTGTAACAATAGTGTTTCGTGCTGATGCTTTTGGAAAATAAAGCGACTCACACACAGGCAGTGCCGAGATTAAAGCCACGATCCTTTTTCTTTTGCTAATAAATGTGACCATGATCCATTGTAGGTAAAACTGGGCTTCAGTAAAAGCATGCTGAGTAAAAAAATAGAGGAGTAAATTTCGATCCTTATCTTATGAAAACACTTTCTGGGCTCAAATAGCTGCTTCGGCTGCTTTTATCTGCCACATAATGCAAGTGGAAGACTTTGTAATCAGTCATCATTGTGTTGTGTGACACAGCGATGCTCCTGATGAATGATACCCTCCATGGTTTCTGATTGTTCAGGGTTGTTATTCAGCTTTCTTTCATATATATATTCATATTTATATCTGACCACGTCTTGTGTTTCCTCTGGGAATGCGATGGGCTTTTTGAGAGGAGACCAGTCGCCTCTGCCTCCGTGTTCCTGAGTGAAGGTGGCGGCGGGGAGCAGAGTTGGAGATTTATGGCCTAGAGGGAGATTGATTAGTGCCGTCACTAGCCCTGATGTACAGTTGGCAGTCTCTCCCCTCCCATCCCATCACATCTGCTCGCACACACACTTTCACATGCGACTGTACGGTTCAACTCATACATCCAGACGCAGCTCAGGGCCCCAGGCCTTCCCTGACAGTCCCCCTGAGCTGTTGCATGTTAAGTTGTAGCAGACCGACTGCTGTTTTCTCAGCATTCCCTTTTCTGTTTTTTGCTTTCGATAGATAACGCCATCAATCACCACATCCACACCGTCCTGGAAAGAATGTGGCCCGATGTGGCTGAGTGTTGCTATTTTCTCTGTGATTGTGAAAGGTTTTTTTCGGAGCAACAGACAGGAGATGCGGTTGAATGGCTGTGTGGATATGCTGTTTGAAGCTGCAGAGTGACTGCTCTGGACTCTGCTCTGCTCCCGTGTCAACAGTGCCCACCCACCCCCCACTTCCACACTCTGCAGGTGTGTGTTTATCATTCAACACACAGAGCTGAGAGGCAGGCAGCTGCAAGCATGCTTCCCAATTAAATCCTCGGTGAGAAAGCCCCCAGTGGCTCCCAGACCCGGCCATGCACAGCTTTGACCTCGTATCTTACTTGCTTTAACATCCGTCCTTGTTTTTTTTTTTTTTTTTTTTTTCTGACTCAGGTTGTCCGCAGAACTCCCCCGGCTGTGATACTGTGCCCACCTCGCCATGCTGGCCTGTCTGCAGAGGAGGCAGAACCCCCCGCCCCAGCACCCGGTGTGTGCCAGCAAGACCTTGGAGCCGCCGCAAGTCCTCGGACGGAAATGTAAGTTAACAACAACTAAGGATGCCTATGTTTAGGCTACCTACTGAGTCTGAAAAAGCCTGGAAAATTTTGGAATTTGATTTCAGTATTTTCCAGGTCTGAATGCGTACAGATAAAGAAGAACATGGAAAAATATTTGGACTTCAAGACTTTGCGTGTCTAATGCTATGTCCTTTCTTCTAATTGTCCTTCATTTGTTTATTCTTTTTTATTCTTGGCATATTAATCCCATTTTTGTGTCCTAGCTTCATCATTTTCTCTCTTACATCTGTTCTTCCTTCTTTCCTTTTTGCCTTCCTTTCTTTCTTTATTTTATCCATCCTGCTATCATTCGGTAACACCTGCCTTCTTTCTGTCTTTCCTTCCTGCACAACTTAATTTCTTCCTTCTTTCCTTCTTGTGCCCCTATTTCTTGCCCTTGTTTTGTCTTTTTATCCTTCTTTTTATCATTCCTTTCTCTCCTTTCTTGTGCCTTTCCTCTCTTCTCTCACCACACTGTAAAAATGCCCGCCATAAGCATTTTTATCTTTAGTATTTAAAATTTCACAAGGACCATTAAGGACTGAGAAATCCGGAGAGTCGAGGATGAACACGTCTCCTTGACAGATGCTTAGGTTTGTCGTTTCTGTTTAATCTGCTGCTCATGCTGAATGTTGGAGGTCGGTGGTTCACCAGGACGGTGAGGTGAACAAAAAGTTTCCGTTGTTGTCACTTTGTTCCCTCGCCACTCTGTGGAATTCTAAACAGTTTTATTCAATTTGCACTTAGACCTTGGATTGCTGCGTTGTTTGGCTGCTCATTGTGGGGGAGGCTGTTTAACTGTGCTGATTGTGCAGTCGTGACAACAGGGCTGAACAGACACTGTTTAACGGGCCTCACTGGCCCCGCTGACCCTCAGGGTCTGTAAACATTTACAGTGTCTGGCCCTGGACGTGCCGGCCGCATCTAAAGCGTGGCAGCTGCTGCGTTTGTTCCCCGAGCACCGTCCTCTGTCTGCTCACAAAACGCAGTAAAGGGACAGAGGAGAGCGAGGGTGGAAAACTGCTAAAGGCCTCACAGAGCTGTGACCAGGTTGGGATTAGAGAGAGCTGCAGCCATCAGGAAAGTGAATTTCTCCCAGGTGTTTAGATAAGCATCTTTTTAATAAGTGAGAGAAGTGTTAATTTTGTCCGTAATAAACTGTCCTTGAATGTATCACTGCTGCTGTTTATATGGAAAACACATGAGCTCCTTCAAGCTGATTGTAAATCCTTCTGATGGGCACAAGGGGTTTGAATCCAGTCGTTATACTCAAACGTTACAAACGAATCATCTTTCAAGGAATCAGTTCACCAAAAAAATGTCATCTCAAGGCACTTTACAAACCGGTCATTTCAATTCAGAACCAGAATGAGTGAGAATAGCAGGATCTCTTTGATAGAGCAACACCAAGTACAAATTGTAAGATGGAAGGATTATGATACATGGCTTAAATTTTTTTATCACTAAAAAACTGAAAAATGTGGCATTTCAGAAATGTACTTTTTGTTCCTTTTTATCCAGTTTTTCTTCGAGGGTTAACCTGCACTTACTCCTTTCCTCAACCCCATCGACTCTGACCAGCTTCCATGTTCCTGCTGAAGAAAAGTGTCCCACAGCATGATACTTCCACTTCAGCCCCCCAGGGGACGGTGTGTTTATTACGTTGTACAGTGTTCTCTGGTACATTTACTGAAAAAGAAAAAGGGCAGATTTATCGTGCACATGACCAACCGTGCAACTTTCAGTAGAATCTCCCACCTGAGCTGTAGATCTCTGAAGCATCTGTGCAGGATTTTATCTTTGGGTATCATAGAAAAGGAGATGAATATTTATATAAAGCCATATTTTTCTGGGGGATTTTTCTTGTAAAAAAATTACATTATCCAATTTTATCCATTTTTACAGCTTTTCATGACCTTGGGTTGACTTTTTATATATATTTAAATATGATGCAACTAAACCACATTCAGGTTTGTCATTTTAATGAAATAAACTTTGAATGTTCAAAGTGTTTGATACTTTAGCAAGGCTCTATATTCATTCATCTATATGAATATTTTATACTGTAGTAACTTGGCTTCTTACTAACCAACCAGCTACTTCTCTGCTCAAATAACACTTCAGTAGTCTGTTACAGAAATCAGTACCAACAAGGTGACTCTGTGCTACTTCTGTGCTCAGATCTGGAGTTCACTTTTTTCTTGTTTCTGTGGGGATGATTCATAAGGAGCTACAGGAGAGAGAGAAAGAGAGAGGAAACTTGAGATCATGAAGCTCTGTGGCCGGCTGGAAGGTGTGGCTCCTTATCTGAGAAAAGGTTCGCCGATGTTCACTAATGAAGTTTCAGGGAACGGCGAACAGAGAGGGGGGAGGGAGGAAAATGGACTGTTGAAAATAAAATTAGTAAAGGCAAGAAGACAGAGGGGGAGGAAGGAGAAATGGAGGAAATCCTCAATAGTGCTCTTAATCGATTCCCCACTTCCAATTTCACAGGATTAGCCCACTTCCTCTCAAGGTTCTTTATTGAGGAGCAGCCAGTGTGAGTTAGGACTCAAATCAATAGAGAAAAAGAACAGTCTCCACTCTTTCCCCTTTCTCCTCCCTCTTACTGACCCTCTATGTCTAGCTCCACTTGCCCACCTGTTAAACCCTTTGATTGAAGGACTGCTACAGCGGCCGAGTCCGAGGTTCATAATGAGGATGTTTGGACATAATAGCCTTCTTTCTGTCCTTGGGTGGGAGGGGGTGGTTAGTGTTGGATTTCCACCACGGTGCAGCACTTGGCCTCAATAAGGCGATTGTTCGTCCAAACCCAGAAGGGGTTCAGAGAAGCAGACAGTGGGTCTGGCTGCTGGAGTGGGCAAACTCAGGTCATCTCGCGGAGCCGGGTCCTCGTGACTGATTGGCCGTGGCCCAGATTTTCTCGAATGGAGTCTGATCGTGGGTAAGGTGACCCAGGCTGCAGAGGAGAGCACAGCCTACAAACACAGAGTGGGAGCACTGGAGGGGGATTACCTGGCAGGGAGCGGTGCCATTTGCATCTGCTGTCCTTTACTGAAACATTTTAAGAGTGTGTGTGTATGTGTGTGTGTGTAGTCAGGATAAGAGCACGAGAAGAAGCTTTTTTTTTTTTTAAAGAAAAATCCGTGCATGCAGATGCTGAGTGGCTGCACAGTTCATTGATGCGACTCCCATTAAAAATCCCTCATACCCTCAATAAAAAAGGACTTAACTGGCTCTACCATCAGCTGGAAGCGCTCAGATCGGCTAGCCAGACAATCAATTTCCCCCGAGCGCACAGAGCTTAGCAGGAGAAACGGGAGGCGGAGAGCGGGATGTTTCCATTATCACAGCCCGCTCCGAGTCTGGGCTTTGAAAGGGGCGGGGTGATGTACTGGAGAGCAAGGAGTGCACTGGGAGAGAAAGGAGGGAGGGAGGCAGCAGAGTGAGATAGGGAGAGACAGACAAGTGGAGAAAAGACAGAAGCAGAAAGGGAGACAGAGAAGCTGGCTTTTCAGAGAGCTATTGACCACATGCCCTTAAAAATATCATATTGGATTAGCCTCACAGGGGCAGCCTTTTGATATTTTTCTCTTTGGCTGTAGAATTAAAAGGAGTGTAGAGCATTACTTGAATTATAAATCATAGGCACTTGCTTTCACTGCACCCAAATTCCTCGCATATGTGGCTGCACTCTCCAGCACCAGCCCCTGTCATTTTTAATTAAATCCCCGCTTATGGGTGACATTTGTAGCCACCCCCGAACCCCCACCTTCTCCTCCGTCCTGCGCTCCACATCTCTATACCGCTGCCCTAGATGGAGACATGAAAGGCAGAGACGGTAGCAGAGCCAGGGCTTCTCACAGTGTCATGCCCCAGAGAGAGGGCACCCATCCAGACGGATGAGAGAGAGACAGAGAGGCCCTGCGGGGAGAGATGGGGTGAATGGATGGCACTGACCCCAACCATGGTGAGCCAGTGGCCATCTCATTTTTTTCACCCATCTCGTCCCTTGATTGTCACCCTTTGATGTGAGAGCCTCAAGATAAAACCGTTAAACTCAAGATGCACTGATCTGAGATTTTTGTGGCCAATTCCAGATCACTGATTTCCCGCTGTATAGACACATCTGTCGCACGCCTGGAAATGTTTTTCATATTGAGAGATGCATCTTTTCCTACAATATCCTTTGTGAATATTAGCTGTGTTCAAACGACTGGAATAAAAGCTCCTTTTGCTGCTATATGTTGAATAAAGAAGCTTTATTGTTGCTTTGACCAATAATTAGGACAAGAGGCAATATCACAGTGTTTGAAAGAGGGAAGTCACCGTTATACAGCCCCACAGTTAAACAGGATTTCAATATTTCAAAACTAACATTTAAACTGTCTAGTAGCATTTAGCACAGTTAACTCAGTAAGTCTTATTAAATTTAAAATGAGTTTAATTCATCTGAGAAACTTGTTTCTGATAGAGAATGAGAGCATGAATCTCTAAAAAGATAAAACAATGTGAAACAAGCATTGGCTCTAAAAAAAAAACACTTGTTATAAATGCTGGTAATTTTTTGGTAATCTCCTGTAATCAGGTGACATGTAGCAACATCTCTAATGTTTAAAAGTAGCTGGCATCTAGGAAGCATCTTTCATCATTTCTGCTCCGTTCAGCTTCATCTTTAAACGCCTCATTGATGTCGAAAATGCCTAACTTTGAATCATCTCCCTTCCACACAGAAGAGTGCTGTTTTCAGTGCTATCTGATAGCACTCATCTGTGGTAAACTCACTGATCAAAAACATTAAATTATCAGCTTACACCGATTTCTGGCCATTCATGCGATCATCAGACAGTTCCTCTGCGCTGCTCCTCTTAAAACATTTCTCCTGTACCAGAAAGGAGACTTGAGCCAGCCCAGCGATGAGTAACACTGAGGTGGCTGGACAGGAGGCCCCACCAGCCCCCACCTCGACTCTGCCACTC